TATAATGATTTCACTTTTCGGGCAAAGCTTGAACCCTGAAAAAGATTCATATCTGTTATTTAGTTAGAGGCAAGTGACTGGAGCAAAATTCTTTTTCCTGTGTCATATTCTGAATAGATTAGTCGGGCTGAACTACAGTGGTGTGGTGCCTTTCCGGTTAGGTTTGAAGCGAATTCAGCATTCTAGACATTGTTCGAAACCAGGGCGTCTCAATTGTCAATCGGGATAGCGTGACGTTTTGAGCGAATATATTTTCTGTCTTGCGTNTGGTAACGTCACATACGTTTTCAGGTTGGTAAAGATTACGTGATACTGAGTAGTGATAAACACGCGAATTTTTTGAAGAACCAAAAGAAAGATCCTGCCAACTACAGACCAGATATTTTGCATCAGGTAGGAAATTAAACGAGTATATGACAAGTCGAACCATCTGTATCAATAGAGATGTTGAAGTTACAAGTGTTCGTTCCAAAATAATTTCATCGGATTCGAAACGAATCAGCAATAGTCAGTGTTGACTTGTATGAATAGATTTTGATAATTTCAAGCTTTCAATAATTTCAATTTTATGCATTGCATTTTTCAGTGAAATTACAAAGTTTTTCGTTTCATTTCTTTTCATTTCAGTGTTTATTAATGTTATTGGACAGTCCCTTGAATCGAGCAAATCTTCTACAAATTTTCATCCACACAACGAACAATGTCCTCATCGAAGTCAGTCCACAGACTCGAATTCCGAGAACGTTCGACAGATTTTGTGGATTAATGGGTATCTTAGCTTCTCTTCAGTTTCGGGATCAGATCCCTAAATCTCTCCTTTGTTTCTCTGCCGTACACCAGTTATGATCTCCGCTCGATTTGTTTTTGCTTTGGTAAAACTGGTCTTCAACATATAAGATACCAAAGAAAAATATTAGAGGATTCTTTTCCAAAAAAACTATGCTTACAGCATACAGCATTCGAAGCTGTGTGTGCTGAACGTTTATGAATCGCTGAATTTGCTTTCGATATTCAAAACAATTCAGTCAATCAATCCGGATTTCAGTTCAGCTGCTGCATAAGCTGTCGATTCGTGCGGCGGATAGTTCTGCTAAATTGCTGAAAGTGATACGGAATCCAGTGAGTGTGCATTTGCCAGTTGGCTGTCGTAAGATTCTCACTTCATTTCAAGCGAACGCGTTGATCAAATGTAGTGAAATCGCAAAAACGGGTGACAATCGAGCTGTTGCAATCGTTGTTGGTGGATTTGCACGAGGCAAAGTAAGTGCCTTCTCTGAACTGCATATATCATCCATTTCTCCTTTAATTCAGATGGCTTTAGGGTTAATTGATGGATTTAGGGTTAGATTCACTGGATGGTCAGACATATTTGGATAAGGGTGCCTTTGGAGTATTTCCCATTTGCCTTTCCCAGTCGAAATTCTTAAGAGAATTCATTTGAAATCGTCGCTAGTAGCAGATGGATGCACATATTCCAGTCATATCAGACCACTTTAAATTTTCAATATTGGATGATTGTGGATACTAATGTATCCGAATATATTGTTGAAAGCTTTTCGATATTGGAGTTTCCTTCTGCCCGATTCAGTGAATTTTAGTCAGAAGTTTTTGGTTTCGTCAGATGTTAAAGATCTTTACTGGCTTATATCTTTGAATTTTTTCGGCCCCCGAAGTCGAGATTCCTCGAGAGGAAGAAGTAGGGTCAGTGGCCTTGAAGGTCTCATAGAGACTCGAGGGTCCCTGACCCGTGGGTGTTCAGGAGATAATTGCAAAGGAGCAGTTGAAAGGAACTATTACTCCGGATAGTAATTGTCCACCGAGCAATTTTGCAAAGGGAGTGGCGGAGGGAGGAGAGGGGGGAGGAGGTTGGGCAGTTGTCTTGAGTTTTCCGGATATCTTTCTGATGTTGCCTCCTGATTAAGAATGCCTTCTGATATGGCAGTGCCTCCGATGAGATGCTGATGATCTGAAGAGTCGTAACATCATTAATATTCTCCCATTACGGCAGTTTCTTTTGGTTTGTCGTCAATCAATATTTCAAATTGTAATATTAAAATTCACTTTTATTGTGTTTTCAATTTTTGAGGTGAGCGTTGACTATACAGAAGAAGAGATCAAGATCAGTAACTTCCCGCTGAGTGCAGCGTTGACGTGTGCAAAATTAACGAGTGGATTTGAAGAGGCATGGGGCGTTGAACAATGATTTAATGAATGATGCATGCACTTTGCTTTTGAATGACGTTGTTTTGATGATGATGATGATNTCAAAATTCATTTCACAATTTATTTAAGTATTTCAGTATTGAATCGCTGATAATTTTTCAGAAAAGCGCTAACAAAAGTTGCGTTCCTTGTTGAATTGCTACAAATCAGTTCACTAGTTTTAATTGCATGACAATTTGAGTGTTTATTTAAGTTACGGAAATGCAGAAATCACATACGAACTTCCATGCTTACCTACTTTTTAGACATTCGCTGCTTAGATCTGATCATCCGATATGAGATGTTCTACCTTAAAATTTCTCTACGATTGCGAAAAATTTTCTCCGATTCAAGTTTATGACAGTTATTAACTGTTGACTGGCCCGGCTATTCATTTGAAGTAAAAGATTGCAATATCTGTAAACTTTATCGTGTTACAAATTTTTATCTGAGGAGATCATATTATAGTGAGATTAACTTGTTCACTTCCATAAATGTGTTTGTATATTATAAGAATATTCGGATATATTTATAGAGTTTGATTTGAATTGTTGATGATTCGTTGTTGTTATTATTGTTGTTTATGTTGTTATCGTTAATCGACTTTTGTAATTTTCATTGGAATAAATATCCGCTCAGGTTTGTATTGAATAATTACTCTCCTTAGCAGCAGTTTATGGGTTGTGTTGGAGTCCGACGATTCCATATTTTATGTTTCAGTTTTTACAGAAACAAATGAGGATGTTATATAAGTCGCTAGAACGTAAGATTTGAACAGAAGAATTTCGTACTTGAGAAGCTGTTTGCATTATCTGGGAGGGTCGAATAGCTGCACTGATTCAGTTCACTTCTACAGGCAACAACCCGATGGTTTACAGAAATTCGAGTAGTTAATCTGATCTTTCGATGGGGTTAAAAGTGGGGCTTGCTAGCTCCACATCCCCTTCGCGACTATAATTCTGAAGCAGTCCTCGTAAACTGTATTCCACCTTTTTTTACTGGTCTAAAGTGTCATTAATTTTAAATNTAAATTCCACATTCTAAGGTCAGCTGAAACGCATTTCCTAGATTACCTTTTAATGCTGATGTCCTAAACATCGGTAATATTCAATAATTAGACTACAAGCTAGCTCAGTGATACTTCTAATCACATACGTGCAATCAGTCGCTTGTCATTTAAGTACAGATTGACGTTGGTAATTGCATTGTTTTCTGGAAGGTTTCGATGAAAAAATTTGTATTTCATTACAATTTGACGGCAATGTTTGAACGAATGAAGAGAATTTAATTTTTGCTTTAGAAAACAACACGATTCAAATATGAGAAATGTACTTTAGAGGTGTTCTGATGTTAGAGTGCACTGAAAACAGAAAACAGTTGAATGTATTAAGCAGACTTCGGTTCGACATGAACGCTATCATCCCTTTCAGTGTTCGAGGACGGTCGACAACTTTCGAATTGAAATTTGTGAAGTAATTTGTCAGCTGATCGGAATTGCTGGCGATAACTTTAATGTGTTCTGTTTGCGTTGAGCGTAAACAAAAATATTTGGTATTTACCTACACTCACTTTCAGTGTTCATCACATCAGTTGGTATAATATATGCAGAGCCCAGACCCCGAATAAGCCGCTTTAAGATTACCATTTCTATTAGATGTTCAAGAACTTTTCAGCTGAATTTGACAATAGCGCCATCACGCTAGTATGATGTTCATGTAGCGCTACTGTGGTGCTCATGCATGATAACAGATTGCACATGTGAATTTTGATGATAGAATATGACGCCATTTTTTGAACGTTGATAAAGAGTTTGTTTGATTGATTGATTGAGTGATTGATTGGAAGTTTGTTGAAATTTTTGTTGGAGGTTCGTATTAAATTCGTTTTATTGAATCTTAAACGATTATGTGCAATATACTCTGTTCCGGATGAGCAGCAATCTTGCAATACAGAGGGCTTTTTGTAATCAGCTCGTCAGTGAATTGGAACACTCGATGAACGCACTGAAACAATCAATCTCGAACGCGCACATTCAGTGCTATCTAATAGAGCGAAAACAAAAGTTGAGATTGAAGAACCTTCCAAATTTCGTTTCACCCGGCTTTGCATTCGGATATTCATCCGGAACTGGCTCACTTACTTCATTAACGTATTTTTGCTTCATAACCGTCGTAACAGATCACAACACAAATATTCCATGTTAATCCTATCATCCAGTTGTTATCTGCAAATGTCTGGTGTTGAATGATGCAAGTGTGTTAAATTTGTGAATAAAGTATTTCAAAACGAAATTTCGAATACTTCGTGTCTCAATTATTTGTGATGAACAATAGAGCAGTTTCGAACGAAGGGACGAATATTGATGTATTGTTAAGACATTAAAGAGCGTGTAGAAAGCTGTTTGGTTATATATGTGATTTATGATTTTCTGAATTAATTTTTCAACGTGGTGTTACGTATCACATTAATGTTATTATGCGATTAGTGGATTGCGACATAATTTGTGTAGCAAATAGAATTTATTGATCCAATTGAAGAACGATTTTCTAGCTTTGTTCGTCAGGAAACACGCTGCTTATTCATCTCGAAAGCGTTGTTGTTTTTT